GCTGAAGCTGTTTACAATCACACAAAGATGACGTTTTGGAAAGAATTAGCATAGTTATTTTGTTTTTGTCGCAGCTTCATGAGTCCAATAGTTTCAAAATCAATCATCTATGCGTATAATTTTTTAAAAGATGCGTATCTTTTTGACGTTAATCTTCAGTTTAAGTTCGACATTCGATGATTACAACGAGTTGTTGCTGTAACTCGGGCCATAAATGAATGCATAATGATGTTGGTTGCATAGTAGGTCATAGCCTGACTGAGTGTTTATTTCTTCATCCACGTATATAATATTTCATCGCAGGTTACTCGAGATATATACTTCGAGGTCATTGAGGTATAGTGCAATTAGCATATGGGTCAAGTTTTCACCTTGCCTGATGCCTTTTATTGCATGGAAAGATCTTTTTATGTTATTGCTGGATACATGATAGTATTGATTTATACATGTTTTGGATTATTCTACAGAAACGTCCGTTGATTCATTGCTGTAATAACTTGCTCCAAAGTCCTATTCTCCAAACACTGTCGAATGCTTTTTCGAAATCTATAAAAACTGCAAAGAATTCCGATAGACAGTTAAGACTAAAGATGTGATCACTTGCAGAGTAGTGATTCCTGAATCAAGCGTGTGCTTCGGAGATTACGTAGGATGAATCTGGATACTTTGTGAGTCGGTTGTCTAGTACAGAGGTGAATAATTTGCTGGAAACAGTTCGGGGTCATCTGTTTTTCCTGTATTCTTGTAGATAGGGTGTATTATTCCGTACATCCATGGTTTCGGGAAAACACCAGTGTTTTAAATACACAAATGTCATTTAGAAAGTGGTCAAATGTAACATATGTTACATTTGGGATTCCACTTTCTTAGGAAAGTACAATTGCTAGAACTTTTTTGGATTGAGTCTCATCCGGAATTCGAACCCACACCCTCAGAGTCAGGCTCCTATTCGCCAGCACACAAAGTCAGCCGCCTAACCTGCTCAGCCACACTATGTGGAATTTGTGTGCTGGCGATTAGGTGCCTGGCTCTGAGGGTGTGGGTTCGAATCCCCGATGGGACGCAATGCCTCGGAGCATTGATGGAGTGGCGCTTCGAACAGTCTTACGCTGGGTGTACTTCAAGAAGTGTGCTACAATCGGGCGCGTTCTACCGTGTCGGTGAGGCCCTCTATGGTGAACCCGTTCTCAGGTCAGCTCTTCTTCGCATCCATCTCCACAGCTGCTCAAGCAGGTCTTCTCACACTTCATGTAATTCATTTGACATGCTTTCGATGCAGTGGATGGTTTTTTGTCATTTGGTCTTTAAGTGTTTTTTTCTGCCGGTCCTTAATGGCTCCTATCTCTTCATTTGCCACAGCCTGTTCCTTCAATCCCCCCGGAGAGCGGAACGTCGCGGGTTCGATCCCCGACCGCGTCATACCAAAAGACGTTAAAATATGGTACTTGTTGGTCCCTGCCTGGCGCTCGGCATTAATGGGTACAACAAGGACTGGTAGGCTCGGGAGTCAGTATACTGTGTCTGAGTGGGGTATTCATGCTTCAATGCAGCATGGTATCTCAGTGAGCTAGCACTATAAAACCAGCTTAAGTCTGGGCTAGTACAAGCAGCCGCACATACACATACACACGCATGCACGTCGTCATATGAGCGAAATATTCTCAAGCACGACGTTCAACCCAATTTCACCTCACCTCACCTGTTCCTTCAACACCTCGTCGTAACGTGCGCGTGCACTCATGAACTCCACACGATCCTGCAAGGCTTTTACTTGCGCCTCAGTGTTTTCCATTCTATTACTCACATCTAATAGGGTGGTACTTATATACACTAAACAGTCTAAGTAAACTTAGGCTCAGTATTATTCGTTACACTACTGAGTCTAACAAACCCTAGTAGAAGGTCGCGTCAGCTAATCTTTTGGACTGACCAATCAGAACACAACTTACCAAATCGCGAAAGTTAACATTCGCACATACCGTTTGAACCTTTACCTAAACAACTCGAACGATTCCGAATGCTATTTTCCGCACGATCGCGTCTGAGTGATACACTTGGAGGACAGAATGATTAAACAGTCGCAGAAAATAGCGTTTTTGTCAATATTCAAGGATATATTTAAGCTAATAGTAACCATGTCATTAGGAACACCTAAGCGTATATACTGCAGGTCAAATATCTGCGTTTTGTGCGGATTTTCGTTTGTTGATAGATCATAGTCAGCGACCAAGGAAGAGAAAATCCAAAAACTGATTTGTAAGTCCCGCCGAACCCTACCAAGTAGTCGCTATCTGATTGATTAAATCCGTTCGGCCGTCTCGCGTTTGATGTGACGGTCATAGGTCGCTCAAAGGTTAGCTGACGCGACCTTCTACTAGGGTTTGTTAGACTCAGTATAGCAGTGTAACGAATAATACTGAGCCTAAGTTTACTGATACACTGAACGCCAAAAGAAAGGTTACCCTCCTACGTTTATGAATTACTTAAAAACTATCAAAGATATGTTAGAAGATATTAGTTTACAAGAAAGCTTAGCAACACAGCCTTATGCAAATCACGAAAAACAAATTCTCAGACGCATTCATATCTAGGTGAAAAGCATCTTTTTCAGAAGAGTTAAATTGTCCTATTTTCGTCCATGCCGACATAAACCAATAACAGTAATTTAGATGTCCAAAAGAAAGGTTAGAATTCTGCTATGGGACAAAGATAAACCATTTAAAGTCACCATTTTACAACTATTAAAACAAGAAACAAGAGTGTGCAAAATTGTAAAATAATCATTCCTATGAAGTAAAACGTTTCTTTGATATTGTGAAAAAAGCAAAACGTGTCTTTGATATTGTGAAAAAATGTTTAGGAACATACAAAATTATCTTAACATTTTTGCTCGCAAAGTAACATTTTTCAATTTTGTGTTTCCACATAGCAATATCAATCGCCAAAACGCAGCAATATTTCACATGTAGAATGATTCTGTAGGGTATGAAGAGAGCCTAGAATACATGATATGATACACAAGTACGAGAAATATGCCACGATTAACAGCTGAAGAGCCGTTGGGATGGTGCAGATGGGGTCGACATACAATGCTGTTGCCACAGTCCCCGGATGCAACCGTATCACGGTTATAAGATTTCGTCAGGGCTTCAGACAGACTGGGGTCACCGAAGACAGACCAAGAAGTGGGCGTCTACGCATCACAACGCCAGCTGAAGATAGGTACCTCCGTCATTAAGGAAGGAGCGTAACGTTTCTTTTGGCGTTTAGTGTATATGTTATTTTATTGGATATTTATATAGCGCACATGTCCACGCACTAGTGCATGCTAAAGGCGCTGGTATTTTCCCCTCGATCATTGGATGTCAATCTCAACCACACATCGCATTATCTCAACTACCTGGGGATCATACAACTCTTGCTGCCACAAGGCGCACCGAGTAACTGCCGCTTTCCCATCCTTACGAGGTACCCATCCACAGCAGGGTGGACTGGGACACATAGTCACAGTACTTTGTCCAAGTTTACTGCACGTTGCTGTACCCGCAACTAGGTGTTTGCACGTATTCATGTGGCCACCATCTGGTCATATACCAACGGATTGGTGGGTTCTTTTAAGTGCACAGGGTTGTGTACTGTACACTAGGGGTTGTGACAACACAGAAAGAGTCTGCACACAAAGTTGACTCCAAGGTTTTTACACCTGGTCACAGGTGGGCTCGATCCCGGCACCTCAAGCTTGCTGGATCACTAGCCTGGCGCCTTAGCCAGCTCCACCACCACGCGAGTTGTTTATTCCATTAACAGCTTTTTCGAGAGTGTAGTTTACCATGTTTATCTATCATAAAGTTCACTTCTGACAAGATGTCATGAATTGTATGTGGCGAGTAGTCGCCCCCCCCCCCATGCATACCCTGAGCAAGTGTCAACGTAAACACATGGTACTGGGAGTGGCCGTGCAGTTGTAGGGATGATAACGGAGCATAATTCCACCCTGAGGATGTAGTGAGGTGTTCATATTGACGATATTCAAATTTTCCGACACAATAGAAGGAAGATCGCTCGTATCTAAACACGAATCACTTGCCACGGGTTTCATGCTTTGTTTACACGGTATTCACAGCTTGGCTCTTCTGGGCCTCATTTAAACGATCTTTCTTCATCAAAGTCAATATGCTAAAAAAAAAAAAAAAAGTACTGTCGGAAATAGAAAAAAACCTGTATTTTCTCATTTATCTCTACAATTTATTTAGTTGATATGTGAAAGTGTGAAATATCTGTTAAACTATGTTCGGCCTAACTACAGTCTCAGTGGTAGAGAGATAGGAAACGGAGAAAAGGGACTTTACTGAGGGGAAATTAGTGCAGAACTGAGCATGGCTTTATGCAAATTAGTGTGCGACGATATTGTATTACAAAGGACACTTTTAAATGCCCAATTTGAAATTAGACGTGGATTCGTTATAAACGATAGCTGACGTAAAAAATAATAACTTTTATGCTGAAACTATTAAGAATGTAGATACCATGCAGTCTCACTGTCACTATAAAAAGAAACAGATAGGAGGGGTCGTCTCAAAAGCAAAACCCTGGGGTCGGGCTGGGGGATAGAGATATCAGCTAAGATGAGATAATCCTTTAGGGCAATTATACTGGGGAGGTACTAGGGCAATAATTTTTGCAATATATTGCAATACATATGTCGCAGGAACTACAAAGTCCATTCTGGCTGATGATATTTATTGTATGCACGAAACCTGTGGGTGTTAAAGTTGCTGCCTGACATGGTGTGTGTCATTACACAGATAATATAAATGTTTATCAATTATTAAATACTCAAAATATATTCTATGGAATTAATTGTATTTTAAACAATTAATGTTATCACTGGCAATTTCCCCATAACATTGTTTAAAATCATGTTGAATATACTTCATACCTGAGAAATAAATACCTTTTGCATAATGAATTAAAACAATCATTCCAAATTCACAACATACCTGTGGGTCACAACAACATGTTAAAGTTGCTGCCTGACATGGTGTGTGCTGGGCCTCTGACACATGTAGTTTTTATAGAGAGCAGTCATGTGACCTGCCTCTGCAACATTTGCAGGGACTGCATGTGCCAAACCCAGGATGTTCCAGTCAGACCACAAGTAAGGTGGGCTGTTTACACCAACATCAGTGAGAGTGCTGGAAAGTATGGTGCAGTGTTAGTGACAGATATTAGCCTGCGACACATATCGCAATATATGCTTCCGCATCGCAATATATCGCATTATGAAAATTCTCTGCAATACCCACCCCTAGGAGGTACACGGCACGTCAAAACAATTTACAAATAATATCCAGTCCTGTCGATCTTCGGATGGTCATGCCACCTATATACTACGATGAGTTTCTATGGTTATCAGGTATCATACTCTTTTACATATCTCAACATAAACTTTATGAAAGAAAGACACGTACAGTCTGTAAGATGTTAATCAATGGATGAGACATAGTCAACACACATGAAAAAGCACAAAATATCTTTGAGATGACCACTTGTGGCTGTAAGCAGCACGTGCATTCCATGCCAGGTGAGTCGACGGTCCGTCGTCATACCTGGCTGAGCGACCTAATTGTCATCTATAGTCTGATCTATTGTTTTCAGCAACTATTCGTATTTTTATCTAAGCTTTGCCCAATTTGACGAGTAAACATGCTTTTCTGGATATCGTATTACGCATCCCACTGAACGCCCAGTTAGGCCGAAGTGGGTTATTTCGACATATGCTATTTGCAATTGTGTAAATGTTAGGGATACAGAGTAACAGCCTAAACACAGTTTTTTTCTAATTCCGACAGTACTTTAGTTCTATGTTATCTTTGTAATGTCCGTACACGTTTATAGGTTCTATTCTCAACTCGATAACCCATATGTACAAGTTTTTTGTCAGTCAGACTAGAACTCGTCTACACCCTGTCAGCGTTTTGTGTATGTTTGTAACAATAAGCTATGGCTAAGCTAACTTATCGATACTGACGAGAGAGTGCATCCAATACCAACGTAAATACAAGCATGCGGTCTGGCTACCTGAGCTCACATACTCAACAACTGATATCTGTTTACATACAGGTGCAACCAAGCACATTAATTCAGGGAAGTCAACGTAACACGAGTACATGCCACAAAAAGGACGACAGTGTAGTTGGCTGTGATGCGACTTTCTATATTTAGCTCCCAAGTTATACGGCTCTGTGTTGACAATATCCAACGCAGAATCCAGTGTGGTCATTGCGTAATTCGGTTAAGCTCTTTTCTTGATAATACACAGTAGGGGTGGGTATTGCAGAGAATTTTCATATTGCGATATATTGCGATGCGGAAGCATATATTGCGATATGTATTGCAATATATTGCAAGAATTATTTTTTTAACAAAAACTATTTATAAACACAACATAATCACTATGGTTGATTAACCTTTAATAAAAACTTTTAATCATGACAAAATGAAAATGAAAGTAACATTTGGCACTAATGAAACAGGGAAAGGAACAATTAAAAAACGGAAATATCCGAAGATTTCCGATTGTTACGAAGTTTTCCGAATGCATGTCAAAATACCGGTTTTCGATCAGCGTATCGCAATACATACCGTTTTCATGTCTGAACCGGTAAATACCGGTAAACCGGTTATATAGCGCAGCCCTAATACACAGGATACAAAACATGTGCCATTTACATCATATGAAGTGAAGCGTCCTTTTGATAAAACTTGGGACACGCATTGCAATCGTGAAAGGACATTGATATGAATTAGAAGCTTGTTTCATATCCTCTAAGTATCAGCTGGTTCACTGAAGATTTTTAACGCTGTGAAGACCCAGGAACATATAGACGTTGTATATTTTTCCCAGCAAGATGACGCGACAATGCTTCAGTAACTGAAACGCATGGTCAGTGACAATCAGGCAAGAGTAGAGTTTCTCGTTAAAAGGGATGCTGGGATATAGGTTGGAGTGAGTGAGTGAGTTTAGTTTTACTCCAATATTCCCCGCCGTGATGTTGCTGGAATATTGCTGACTGACTGACTGACTGAGTTTGGTTTTACGCCGCTTTTAGCAATATTCCAGCAACATCACGGCGGGGGACACCAGAAATGGGCTTCACAAATTGTACCCATGTGGGGATTCGAACCCGGGTCTTCGGCTTGACGAGCCAACGCTTTAACCACTGGGCTACCCCACCGCCCCCGGAATATTGCTAAAAGCGGCGTAAAACCAAAGTCAGTCAGTCAGTCCAATATTCCAGCTATATGGCGGCGGTCTGTAAATAATCAAGTCTGGACCAGGCAATCCAGTGATCAACAGCATGAGCATTGATCTGCGGAATTGGGAACCGATGACATGTGTCAACCAAGTCAGTGAGCCTGACCACCCGATCCCGGGACTATAGGAAGGGTAGCAAGTGGCGGTGGATGTGTTGCAGTTGTGTTGATTGTGAGTGGCAGCAGTTGAACTGAGGCAACAGTAGCCTTTTGCTAGCGGTCTTGACAGCTAGTAATTTAGAGTTACTTCCCGTAGTTTTAGTCATAGCCAGTCGCAGAATCACTTCCGGAACTGACAATTTTCGACAGGTCCAGAAGACTGAACAAGCGGGAAAGGCGCGAGTTGAGAAGACTGTGGATGACGGCATGAAACAACAAGTCTGGTAGAGATGTATGCTGTGTTTGAAGCCGGGTTCATCATCCACGAGGACAGCGTGTATTTCTGCGGTTTAGTGCGGTATCCCCGCAAGATGGTTTCCAACCTGGGCCCCGTTTCACAAAGTTGTCGTATCCATACGACCTGTCGTAAGTCTGTGTTACAGTACAGGAGGTACGACACTCGTAGCGCTACGATAGCTTGTAAAACGGGGCCCTGCTTGATGCCAAAAAGAAATTTCTATCCGAACAAGCAGTGATTAGTCAAATGAAAACAGCATTTGGATACTCTCAAAACCATCTACGTTGAAGCTGTCGCTACCGCAACATACATATTCTATATTTCCCAAACCATTGTCTTCATGTTCACTTTACCTTCTGCCGATGTTAATGAAGTGACACAAAGCAGAATATTTTCGCGTCAGTAAATGTCTAGCATCTACTATCTACATCGCCATTGTAACTGAACTATGTTAACAGAGACGCATTCTGATGTCTGCTCGCCATTGCTCCACGCGTCATGGAATTTGGTGACGTTAGCTGATGAACGTTATGAATCCTGAAATGTAGCGTCGACGACTGACAACCTTGTGACTACGAGATGTGGTTGTACAATATTTTGTCTACGACGGAGAAGCTGGTCCCTGCGTGATGTCTACGACGCAGAAGGTTGTTAGGCGTGCGTGACCTCAGTGTACTCAGCATTTGTCAACGTGGGTGAACCTTGCCTCTGCGTGACGTCACTTTACAATGAGTAGTCCGCGACGGAGAATATTGTCACGGTGTAACGTCACTGTACATGTTTTGTCCATGACTGAGAACGCCGTCAATGCGTGACGTCTCTATCCAATGTTTTCTCCACGAGAAACACAACGCCACTGAGCATTTACCAACGTGGGAGAATCACTGGAAACATTAAACATATGTCTGCTACTGTGGTTAGGCCCACGAACGTCAGTATGTTGCTAAAAGACCAAGGATAATAATCGGGGAGACTGTGGGATTCGAACCCACTACCATTCCATTTAGGCTGCTACAGGACGTCATTTTGTACACCGAATCTTGAGTGAGTACTGTTTTATGCCGCTTTTAGCAATATTCCAGCAATATAACGGCAGGGGAATCAAACCTGGGTCTTCGGTGTGACGAGCGAACGCTTTAACTACTAGGCTATCCCACCGCCCACACCGAATCTTGATTCGAATTAGACCGCAAGCTTATAAATGCCCTGCAACCTTATTAGAACGTAAACAAGGAGGAGGCTGTACACTTAGTTTAATATTTTGAAACAAGACATATCAACAAACTTCAAATTATAAAGCATAACAAGGCGACGTCGGTATATCTGTGAGTGTTGACTTCCACATCTGGATGTGACGACGTTGTACTGTGCGGGCGATGTTGTCGTAGTTGAGGAACAGCGTCCTTTCCACTCTGAACCTGTCTGAAGCGAGTCCGTGGGGTAACGCTCCCCGGTGTATCCTCACAGATGTGTAGATTTGTGGGGAAATGTCTCTAAAAAATGGGGAAAAGGACATCACATTCACCTGACCCGGGCTACAAGTGTTTGCTTGATAGAACCAGTGATTGAGAGTATGAGCCACATACACAGAGTACATGATATTCAGTAAAGACTTGAAGAAAATGTTAAACCTTATATGTATGGGTCCATTCCGAGCTAGGTGTGTCTGTTTCAGAGCTAGTTCTTGCTTCTGCATCATTCATCATTCACCTGAGGAAGGAGCAAGGATTAGCTCTGAGACGTCGTATAAAGAATAAAAAGAAGTTCTTATCCATAAAACGTGTCATGTATTAATGACGACTGACTGACTGAGTTTGGTTTTACGCCGCTTTAGCAATATTCCAGCAACATCACGGCGGTATTAATGACGAAGAAGGCACTTCAGATGAAGAGATACTATAGCGAAGTCGTAAAATACATCTACACGGACCACATCCATCACCCACAGTGTTGAACTAAACAACGGATTCGACCTGGACAAAGTCCACAGCAAAACCTAAGGAAAGCAATAAACATAAACAGAGAAATATCATTTATGGACACTTGTGATATTTCTCTGAATTTCAAGGAGAGGTTGTTGCACAGCAAACAGCAATAGTATTTTCCAATAATGCTAAAGTTACTGCCAGCTTGTGATACAACACAAACGTGACTGTATTTATCAATATATCCCTCTCATTGTGAGATACCATTAAGAATAATCTTACACCGGATAGACTATTTTCACAAACAAGATATATCTAACTAAAGTTTTGTTTAGAATTGTCTTACATTTAAAGGAGCAGTTGTACGTTAAAGTATATTTGGAGTTAGACAAGGTTGTATTTCAAGACTATTCCTGTTTGATCGGAATATTTGCAGGTACAGATTTTACTGAACTGTTATTATGCTTTGTATCGATGCTGTTGACTATACTGTCTTTGGTTTGCAGAAAATATTGGATATAAAGTTATTAAACATAAATTACCAATTATATCTGTTAATGTATTTTGGTACCGGCATAGCAGAACATACCCATACTGTTCACGCACACCCGGTGTTACCACTGATATTGCGGTGATCCATTTATATATTATTCTTACGACTATTTTGTCTTTTACGCTCAGTGGAATGTGTCGAAGCTGGTTCTTTAAACTATGTCTAGGAGTATATATTTATTTAGACTAATTGAAATTATTGGAGGCCTGGAAAAGATCATCAATGAGGACCAGGAAACACAGAGTGCCGGGAATGCACTTGGTACCAAAATCAAAGCCGTGTATTAAAACACCTTTGTGTTCCCGATAGAGAAATGGAGATCTACGAGTCCATTATCTGCATGGAAGTATCTGTCATGCTGTATGGGCAGAAATGCTCTGCGGTCATGGAATTGCTGCTGTTGTTGTTCGCTTTTGCTGCCATTCCCCTAGCGGAATGAAACAATCCTTGGCAACCGTTGTAACACATACTTCGACCTGGGTTGGTCGCTTCACGTTAGTAACACGTGGCCACTCCCTCTGCTCTTTCTCCGCTGTGCTATAGCCGAAATACTGCATGAAACGGCGTAAAACACAACTCACTTATATACAAACTGGTATAAAATGATGAACGGATGAGGAATATTAATACCCTTTTGAAAGTAAATAGTGGGATGAACAACTGAGATATTTCTACACGAAAACGCCGCATTTGTTGAATAAAACAGTTCTGTATCCATAGAAATATCTCAGTTGTTCTGAATAAAGGCGTAAATGTCTTAACCGAAACGTCACGTTCATGGTAATATAGAAGTTCTGTTTCCATAGTATCATCTCTGTTGAATTGATGAGGAAGTTGGATAACCATAGCTACGCATTCCCATGATGCTTACCTGACTGCTTTATCGTGAAACTTGGCATTGCGCCATTTCTCCACCGCCGAAGGGTCGCGGAAAATGACCAGGTTTCCCCAGTCACCCCGGGGGTTCGCTCGCCACTGCTCACCGCTACGATGTCCTCGTGGTTCCTCAGCTGACCCAATAAACAGTCGTCCATCTCCCACAGATCCTTCAAACTACTCTCACCAACGTCTTTCCACCGGTTCCCGATGAAGCCTACAAAATACAGGACATTACCCCCAGACCGCGCCTCCTCCCGCAACTGTTGCACAGGTCGTACTCCTTGGGGCAGGATGAGCTTCGCCTCACAGCCGTTCTGCAGGTGCGAGAAGTACCCCCGCATGCACCTGTTGTCATAGTCATTCACGTCATCAATGTTCTCTACTTCCTGGTTCAAGAAATCAAGGCACAGCTTGAGAAAGCTGAAGTCATCTCTAAACATTTGTACACTGCTCATCTCAGACATGGTGTCCAGCAACGGTTCATTCATCTTCCCCGTGTGTTTATATACAGGTTTGTGCGTGAGAAGGCACAGCGTGTTGTTCTAATCATATGTAACAAGAAAAATAGCCCGAAGTACCAATAGAAAGTACCGTGCCAGCTGGTGCCACACATTAACCATATCTAGGCAATTAAGTAAACGAGAGAGACGGGGGTTTGAAATACAGTGTGGAGAAATACAGAACTATCCTTACAGAATACTAAAAGTAGCGTCAAATGGGGCCGGTATGACGATCTGTCATAGGGTAACTGAATAAATAGATCAATAGACACATTACCAAATGGATTTGTTGGTTTGACTACATAATGTGATACAACTGGTTACATAAAACTAATGTCACAGACACTGTAGCATTTGAAAGTGTATTGATTTCCATATGGGGTATTAGAACCTGAGAGCAATTGTAATGTAGGTTTTCCTAAAATCACCATTTGGGTTTATCGGCAGTTTCATAGACTCACTACCTTCTTACAGAGCGTCTTGCATCATCATGCAGTATGTGCCAGATCAAGGAGACCTTGGAGGTCAGGAGATTGAGGTCAACTTAAAGTGTCTTTCATCATACGATCTGGAGATGATGAAATCAGGCACACTTCTAGACCTGGTAGTTCCCATGTACATTCTGGCTATGTGCGTACCACTGATAGGTGGTTTACAATGTGCAAACACAGTGTGCGATAGTGTCAGGGGGATTGTTGCTATAACGGTTGGGCAAGCCCTCAATACTATCTAAATATGTACTCTTCGAAGAAAAAAAGAAACGTAGGACATAGGAACAATTTGAACTTTTGGAAAATATTTGACACAAACAAATCCATGCTGAATCCCAACATGTGGAAGCATGGTTGCCGACGATAAAACATTTACAAAAAGAAACGTTGACCGAAAACGTAACGTTACACTCACATTTGTAGTGAATCACTAAAACGCACCCTACATGAAATGCACGGACATCATGAAATTGTGTATCACCTCGAGCTGAAGCCTACGACTGTAAGCCACATCAACGGTACTCCACATGCATTGATTTAAGCCACTATAGATAAAAGCCACTATGAAAAGACTGCCAAGACTGACAGAAGATCAACGACACAACGTCATCGGCCATTTACAGGGACTGGCATCGCAGCATGAGGTGGCAAGATACTTCGGCGTGTCCAGACAGACCATCTCAAACCTATGGACCCCATACAACAAAAACTGGGAGTGTTAATGACAGACACAGGCCAGGTCGACCTAGAGTTACCACCGCCGCCTAGGATCGGAACATCCGGTTGAGACATCTTCGTTCACGCACCACGACCGCATCATCCACAACAACCCATATCCCTGGACTGCGCTGAATCACCGACCAGACATTGCGCAATCGGCTACGGGAAGCAGGGCATTTTGCCAGAAGATGTAACGTCTTGACAAAACGTCACCGGGCTGAACCTCTACAATGGTGCAGACAACGAGTGAGATGGAGGACAATTTTGTCTCGGTTTCTTCTCAGAAGTGCGGATGGACGTTCACGTGCATACAGACGGCGGAACGAACGTTACGCCGATAACTTGCAGTACGGCAGGTCAATAGATTTGGTTGTGAAAGTGTAGTGGTGTGAGCAGGTATCCATCATAATGGCCGGACAGCTCTTGTGCACGTGGCAGGTGCATTGAATGGCGTTCGCTATAGAGACGAGATTTTGCAACGTCACGTCGTTCCCTTCATCAACGTCAACGGTGGATCTTTCCAGCATGAGGGGCGGTGGGGTAGCCTAGTGGCTAAAGCGTTCGCTCGTCACGCCGAAGGCCCGGGTTCGATTCCCCACATGGGTACAATTTGTGAAGTCCATTTCTGGTGTCCCCCGCCGTGATATTGCTGGAATATTGCTAAAAACGGCGTAAAACCATACTCAGTCAGTCAGTCAGTCTTTCCAGCATGACAACGCTCGTGTTTGCCAGGACTTCCGCCAGCAAAACAACGTTCATCTGTTACCATGGCCATTTTGATCACCCGATTTGTCCCCCATTGAACATCTATGGGATACTCTTGATCGACGCTTGCGCCATCGTAATCCGGCATCTCCTGTCTTCTATGGGCCGCTGCTGCCAAGCTGTTATCGATGCTCATGGTGGTCATACCAGATACTGACATTTTACTCTGACCAAGTGGCTTTAATAGCCCCCTGTGGTTTTACCAAACACTTTCTGGATAATCATGTTTTGGAAATTTGTAAAGAGATGATGTTACTCTAATTGAGCAATGATGTCATGTTTGAATCAGTTATATGCTCTCAGTAAATATACTCCAAAACAACATGTCAAGTTTCTTTTTTGGAAGAGTATATAAAGCTCTGCAACATATCGGGCTTACACGAAACAATTGCCTCGCAAAGCGCCTGGTAGGAGGAAAGCAAGACGTGTGGTGGAAGTGTGATGGAGTTCCACACGTTGACCACGTGGGTGTCCCCCCGTCCCTCCCGTAAAGAGGTACAACCCAATCACGTGACGTAAGGGATTCAGGTGGCCAGGCTTGACGACTTGGTTCACTGAGTTCCATCGTATCCCAATTGCTTGGATTGACGCTCATGATATCAATCACTGGATTTGTCAGGTCCCGATGCGATTATTTACAGACCAACTCGATATACCTTGAATATTGCGGCGTTTAACAACAAACAAAACAATAAACAAACAAACAAACAAATGTAAGTGTGGACGTATTCTCCGTTGATCTGCGTGTGCTTCTTGGGAGGGGGTAGGTTGGCTAGCTGAGGGTTTTGAAGCGTTCGGTGGTCCTCCTAGGGAACGGGTTCGATTTTCAACATGTGTCAATACTTAAACGTCCAAATGTTGGGCCTCCGTCGGTTGTGATGCAATAGTGATAAAATACTCGACCTACGGCAATCTATGAATGGAAAGGACGTGTGAAGGTGTTGCGTTTCGTCATCTACGGAGGAACAGCGGAGGGCGAGCTCACACGCCGAGGTCGCGTGTAATGGTCTACTGACCTACTGTCCTTCGTGCTGTCACGATCAGGCATATGTGTAACAGTATAACGGAATATTGTACATGACGCTAGTATTAGTCTAGGAATGAATACTTACTGGAGTTTAATACTAAATTGTGTGGCAGGACAAAATGTAATGCATGAAGTTATGTAATGGTTTGTTTGGATTTGAAGCCACGCATAAGTTTTAGTTGAATGTTTACGAAATACAAACACAACAGATTGGAAGACATACCACTCAATAACTGCTTAGGATTAAGTTTTGATATTGTATAATAAACATCAGGCAACTTCTCAGACGAAAACAGTATCTTGTTCATACTTGTGTGTTTATTGCACTATATTAGACCACACTGACCACGTGATACATATCACATGTGCTATATACATGTTATATACAACTGTTCATGATACACATCAATACACAAAACTGGCTATATACAAGCTATATACACGACAACATACAACACATACATTGTACACGTCACGTTGCCAATAACAACTTATCATTAACAAACAGACACTCATCACGATATCAACAACAATCTCAATATCGATGGTTCATGACCGGACATTGAAACATAATCAATAACATACGACAAAGACTTAAATATATTATGATTCAAATGACTAGATGGATAAATTGCACTTCTTCGCGTGTTTCACGCGTGACTTATGTCCATTTCAACATGGCTGTCCTGATCAACATTTCTCCGCCATGACATGAACCTTGACTCGTTCCCAACAACGCATGCGCAGTCAAACTCAACAATATATTGTCTGCACTATTGTCCACAACCACAATGTCGGTTTTATCAAGATGGTTTAGCTTGACTTGAACATATCACACAAAAGTCTCTCGATGGGAATGCTGCCGATCGTTCGGCGGAAGAATATTTCCTCGATTGTTCTGGAACTAATTGTTCTCAGCGCCGGAAGGAGAAGAAGCAGCTTTCCGAACCTCATCTTACTGGCGGGATGCTGCGTGAAGGTGTATTCGCTCAGCATGAGTGTGGCCTGGTCCTGTAGTGTCTCCACCTGGAGGGAATCTCGCAAACCACGGGTCTCTGGAACAGGAAACACGTGTGGTCAGTTTGTTGCAAGTATCAAGATGGATGGTTGGTTGAGTTTTGGATTTATAAACAAATATATAATTACTCCGGGAGTCTTGGTAAAAATATATGCTATGCATTTGTCCAATGGTATGTATTCAAGACTGAATATGATTTTACACAGCATTTTTGGCAACATTCCCGCAATATCAGGGACGGGATAACCAGAATGGAATTCATACATTGTACCCATGTCCTGAATCGCTACCTGTCTTCAGCTTTTATGAGCTGTGATATATAATTATGTGAATTTCATTTATTTATATGCTATCACAGACATAAGATAGTATTTCAAATGGTAAAATATGGTATGGATGATTTGTGCAAGGATAAAAACTACTCACCACTCTTAAAAAGGACGATTGCTTTAAGACAGGCATATTCTGTAGCATCTACTCGGAGGTTGTTAAATCTCGCGATGACGTCCTGTAACAGCCGAATCTGCGTGTACACTGTCGACGACTTGTCCGACGTCTGAGTCTCCGTCGTCATGCCACCAGCAGACAGGAGAGAGGCTGAAAACAAGATCAAGAAACTTGATAATCTATAATTTCTCTCAGCCAATAACATAATATTTTATTGGTTCATCGGATTGTAGCAAATGTGACTTTTTACGAATACTTTTCGTTCGAGCGCTTGGAAAATAACAACGTATCCGGAGAATTAGTTCAGACTTGATCGCGGGATTAAATGAAACTGCACATTTACTGGTCATACAATATTAAATAGAGGAGCAATATTTTCTTTAAATTTGAAAAGATACAAGACCCCTTCAAATATCTGCCAAAAGCAGTCCATTGAACGATTCCGAATATAAAATACATGTAATTCTGTATAACTGTCAAATAATACTGACAACATTGTTTTGCCAGGGGCGTAGCTACCATTATTAAAAGAGCCCGGGCTCACACATGATATTTGCTATTATAGTTGGGCAAGCTCTCAATACTATGTAAATTATAAAGCTTAGCAACCTATTGGGCTTACACGAGAAAAATGGCTTGCTACGCGCCTGTTTGCGAAACAATGAGCTTATCCTTCAGAAGAAGTATTTGTTGTATATACCTGCATCTATAGGCAAAGCCCACTGAGCTGCACTGAGAACGAACAGTTCATTCCATGACTCCTCCAGTAAGATGGCCTGATCCCGGAACGGAAGGTGCAGGAATGATGGGATATTTCGCGCCCACTTCACAGACATAAACAAGAGACGAGCCGCAGTTTCGTAAGTATTCTCGGCAGCCGCATTAACGTACGCTCCGTGATCAGCGTTTGTTTGAAGAAGATGGAGATGGGTGGGGAACTGTGGAGGAGGGGGAGGGGCGGCGCCCCCGGGGGTAGAGGTCTTCATGCTGTAGGGGGCGTGGAAAGAGGAGTTTGATGATGTAGATGAGTTTGGCGTTACCATGGAGACAGAGGGCATGGATGTATCAGATGAACGGTTGGATGATGGCGAATCTGAAATAAATACACGTCGTTGAAGAGCATGTATAATTCTATGTATGTGACTTTTGAAGTCGAAGAAGATAAAATAATATTTAAAGCAGCAATTTTTTGATATTCGTATATGACATTCAGGGTATCCTTTATGAAATTACCGCTCTATCGTGTGCCTTATTTGGCATACCTAGGTGTGGATACCAAAGCGTTATATTTGGATTCACCATTACGTTCTACAGATTTAAATAGAGGAATGAAGCAAAGAGCAATATCATTATCATAGTTACTGTTTTATTACCTTTCATACTGTCATCAGAACTTGACTTATTGGGACTGGGTGACCTCCCTTTGCTTATCGCTGGTGACGGTGTGTCCTTCACCTTCGATGACGTTTTCTTGACGTCATCGTCGCTCTCTGCGTGACTACTGTTACTGCTGCTGATGCTCTCGTTCATGGATGGCATTGGAGGAATGTGTGAAGGAATCCCATTGGCTAGTCCGGCCATGTGCACCATGTTGCTTGGCAGTGTAGGTGGCGTCAGGCCAGCGCCAGCCAATAGACTGTTCCGTCTCTGCTGTTCTGCCATCTGGAGATGAAGCTGGGAGAATGCTGGGTAACCATACTCAGGTGCCATAGCAACGGGAGAGCTGTATTGGGGATACTGGGGGTACTCAAATCTGTAAACAATCAATTCGACAGTTAATACACATCAATCCTTCCTATTTAGAAGTAGTAATTTATAAACGAATGCGGCAATATAGGTAAATGATGGACTAAGCTGACACGTATAAATTACGAACAACCGAAAGAGGCTCAGGTAAGGGATTCTTCTTGTCATGCCGAGTTCGATTTTCAACATGATGTCATGGTGTCCTTCTCAGCGATGTACAGCAGTGACAATTAACAATCACTAACAGATTTGTACAGTCTTCAGATGAGTGAGTCAGTTACCTGCTGCGGTCCATGAAGTCAGTTAGCGGGGCGTAAGCTTGCTTCTCGTCTAATCTGATATTGTCGGGGCTGTCTCTCTTGTACTGATAGCATCGGGGGGCGCGTTCGTGCTGGACAGCTGGAACATAGCGACAATAAGATAACAATACCACAATACAGCTGTGGACACAACTCCATACATGTCATTGATCTCATAAATTCCATAATTACGTACAAAAAAATAATTAAAAATTTCTTGCGTTTTAACTCGATGTCTTCGCTTTGTGTATTTGCATTTCTTCCCTGATGGTTGGGCACGTGAAAAATGATAGGGCAGGAATATAAGCTGGTTCTAATCTGGTTTTCTGGAGCTACCGCTGATCAATACCAGCCGCAGCCTGTTTAACCGATTAATTATTTATATTCTCATAGACTGTCTTGTTGGTTTTGATTGAGTCTAATTGACTTACAAATGAAATGCAAATGTTCAATATATCAGGTAGCCTAGGAGTTGAAGCAAAAGTTGGAGTGGCCTTTAAGGCGGCTCTGATTTCATACGTTCTTGCGCTATAGTCAGGAAGCTGGCAAGAGAATCAATAGGTTCTTTACAAAACTTGGATCGGGTAGAGAGCGCGGAGTGAGATGAATTGAAAGCAAACAAGGCACGCTGTCATGTTCCCAGCTCCCAACGACAGGAATGGCGGTCATATGAACGCTGCTCCATGCCTCGATGCAAACATTTCTCTCAGATAAATATCAAACCACCTCTTCATATAATAAACAGCCAAAGGTAATTGACGACGATAATATTCAATAAAATTGAATCATAGTCATTGACGGCCCTTGAAGTTCTCACATAGTTCGTTTCGCTTGCCCCAATCTCTAATTTTCGATATCTGACGGAAGTCACGTGTTGTAAACGCGGTGACAGGAGACTACTCCAAGTATCGTTAGTGAGCGCCGCCTTTGAATCGGAGTAACGTTCCGGATTGATCGACGGGCCGGGAGGAAAAGAGGGCGGGGAGGGGAACTCTTGAGTCCTGCGGCATTTGCCTCTTAACGCCGAGTGTTTGTCTCTCAATTATCCGTATTGCCGGTACACGCGACTCCTTTGAATGTGACCGTCTGCAGGTGCGACTCTAAGCCTGAAGAAGGCTACCGTTATAATATCATCCCTACGCAGTTTAGATGCACAAAGGGAGGTAACTTTAGACGCTAAGTGAATCGACTGAGTTTACCTGTGGGTTGAGGGAAAGTGGTTATGATGCATTAATCTGTCTGGTAAATACAAACGCGTGTAAGTCTCGCACCGGGCGAGAGCAGAACGTGGATGCGCGCGCATGGAAGTGTCATATGATTACTGAGTTAAGCGATGAGTTTTGAGACAGGCATAAGCTCCTGACAGATGTACTTCAGGCAACAAAGGGAATTACTGGCTTATTCACTTAATCATATTTCCATCATACTTAGAATCAACCAACCGCCGTCTGGAAATTATTCCTAGGTCATGGATGCGAGGTCAATAGTCTAATGATGTTTATTCTGTTTTGAATATAATTATTTGTTTGAATTTCTAATTCATCCACAGACGATAATCGTATAGTGAGAACGAACAGCTATTTGACGTGACTTCACGGAGATCCCGCGAGAGTGTCAAGTCACGTGCAAGATCGAATGGCTCGTGCAAGAGAAATCGGAAACCGGGACCCCTGAGAATGATCAGGTGATAATACCGGGGAACTTCATCAAAACTGATACAAAATCGAAAACCAGAACTTGCATTCATATCCGAGAAATAAAACCAGATGTTTGCATTCCAATTCGTGGTTTTGACCCCCCCAAACATGATTACTGAACTTTGTGACTGAAACCAATCCTCTGTGTGTTCGGCGGCTCAGAAAGACGGACGTGACAATTGTTTAATTGGGATAATGGCTCTCTTAGTTAGATGAACAAACAGCGTGGAAGTGATTGTTGAAACACAACCATCGATATATTGAACGACGGGCTATTTCTTTGAGATATTGCTATCTCGAGTATCTCTGAACGTCCCGACCGCACGCTCCTCATCGACACATCACATCTCACGCTGTATCGCCACAATACATGGAGGTAACAGTATGTCGTAACATTTGAGTTCAGACCTTCTGGTGATGTGTACATGCACGGTATATAAATACATACATACATACATACATACATACATACATACATACATACATACATACATACATACATACACGCACGCACGCACGCACGCACGCACGCACGCACACGCACGCACATACTGCTGCAAACACATATGAAATAAACACCGATTACTTTAACTATTATTGCCCGTGTTTCATACAAAAGCCAGTATTGTGATTTGCCACTCCGGAAGATTAGGATTTAAACAGGTAGCTTTCTGTTTTACGGGCTTTCAAGTTTGAACGGTGATGATTTTGCTTGTTAAGTTCGAACCCACAGATAATCACACATAATCCTATAGCCTATAAGCCATCCAAGAAGATGCGAGCATGTGATAATATATTATAAACCAGACGCTTTCGCCCCCCCCCCCTTTTTCTAAAGACGTCTAAAAAGAAATTTTCCTCGTTAATTCTAAACAGTGAGAAACCAGAATAGGGTTGTTGAATGGGCTGTTGATGTTTTCGCAGAGGTCAACATAATATAAAACAAGTATTTCTCCTAAAAAATCACTTTAATCATTTCAATAATATTTAATGTTGAATTCTCAAAATTACTTACCATCCCTGTTCATCTTGACCTCCAAGCACTTCTTGAAGCGGCATGCTTGACACTGGTTCCTGCGAGCGACGTCTACGATGCAGTTGCCATTTTCTTTGCAGACGTAGTCGAGGTTCCTGCGGATGCTGCGTTTGAAGAAACCACGGCAACCGTCGCAACTTTGTACTCCATAGTGTTTGCCAGAGGCCTTGTCACCACACACAAGACACAGGGCGTCGGGCTTCTTCATGCTGAGGCTACTGCTGTCCACTGTGTGAAAAGCGATATATGTTGACTATTGTACATATATTTGATTGAATGTGATCTTCGACTGTATAACATACACTGATGCATATGTCATGAAAAAAGGAAAGAAAATTCTATTATGCATACTAATTATACTACCTGCATATGCAGGTATGATAATTAATCGTCAATATTTAGACTGGACTCCTTTCTTCCTTACTTGTCCAAGATCAAATTAACCAATCCCCGTTCCCCACCTCCACAAACACACACACGCACACCCAGATATACACACGCATAAATACATACACATAGTCAATACTTGCGTCCATATTGATAATAGCATCAAGATCAGGACAGAACCTATAATTTGAAAAAAAATATTTTTACCAAGCCGATCCAAGTTACAGCTTTCACTTCCACCTGTCACCCCTCAGACTGACCCGAGCAGGTCTCAACCATCCACAAATGTTTCGCCTTAATCTCCCTGGGTAGCAGAACCCTGAACAATACCCTTAACGTGCTGTAATCTCGCTATCCTTAGGTAACATTGCGTTCAATTGAGGGCTGATGACTTACATTGTTATAATAAACTGAACCAGTTATTTCTTTTCGTGCGGTGCCGTAACTGATTACTACAATACAATGTAGAGAAGCCAGACCGGGCGGTATTTAGCGTTATCTCATTACGGTTTAAGCTACGCCAGTTGATTAGCATTCATATTTTCAATATATATATGCAGTAATCTTTGACAACGTGATCCTTTGGTTTTTTGAGAATTGGTCTCATGTGGTTGTAAATACCAATTAATATATTAAGCCTTAATCTTGACTACCTGCTTTGTAACACTCTCGCATTCTTATCAGAATTGTTATTTTGAAATTTCGATGTGTGTATTTTGATACATGTATTCATACACACAGAACAATTTTGTGTGAGGATAACTGTACAAAATATAACAATACTCGCCGGATACTCATGGCTACGTTCGTAAAAGTTTGGCTATCTTTATGATTAAATTACCAAAGGACTTCAGTGCAATGTATTTTATAATATTTAAAGACAACTTAACTATGTTTCACATTTCAATAAATTGAAAAGTGCAGACAAAATCAGGATTCTTATACGAATGTTAAATGTTTTAACGGCTCCAAAAATAAATTCAAAACGTATTATTAATGGGTTTCTATTATCATCATCGCCCTGTCACGTGACTATACATTTCCTGAAATCTTAAAAAAATTATACAACTAATTTCAAAGGTAGATGGGTGGTCTCAAAGAAATATTCCATGGACCTAGTCCACAGTTATTATGCAGTTAAATCATAGTGTAACGTTTCGCTGAAACGCTAGCCATTTGCAATGTGAATGGACAGTTCGTTAAGTAAAAAGCCACCTCATTGATATAACAATATAGAGGATTAAACTTATCACGCCAGGTATCATACGTACTTGATAGTCACACCTGCACTTACAACATCAAAGACAACGCCGATGTGTTTTTTACCTGAACGTAAGGTGAACGATACCTAAATGAAGTAGGTAGCTGTATTATACATACACCCGCGTTAAGCCCCCTCGCGTCTTGGGGATATGATGATCTAATCCCGCGGCAATTTACTCAAACAACACAGGTTGCATCCAAAGACTGTTTGATGGAGAGAGTCACTTTCGCTGCTCGACTGATCGTCAGCTTACATTTCAATTAAGGTTTCGGGGCAGGCTATTGTTTCTCAAGTGCACGTGTGTTTTTCTTAATTCGGTTTGTTAATTCGTCGAGCTTATCAACCCCGACCGGGAAAGGGGCGAGAGTGTTTTATTAACTCAGCGTTTAGAGAAGCGATTAATCCATTGTTTTAATGATTTTAGTTTCAGGTGTGATTGTAAACACACATGTGCTGATGTTGTTGTACGAGGCGTTACCTGGTTTTAACAGGTTTACAGGCAGTTAATTATGTTTCAGGTCTACAGAAGCTGTTCCGCAAAACTTTTAGGTATATTTCACGGCTCTTGTTAAACATTTTAAAGAACAGTGTTATACAAAATATATACCGTATATATTTCATAGCTCTTTTTTATCATTTTATATTTACCAAATTTATACCGTATATATTTCATAGCTCTTTTTTTATCATTTTATATTTGCAAAATATATACCGTATATATTTCATAGCTCTTTTTTTATCATTTTATATTTACAAAATATATACCGTATATATTTCATAGCTCTTTTTTATCATTTTATATTTACAAAATATATACCGCATGTATAAGTCTTGCAAAATTGACATTTAGAAGGGATACCCATAAATTCTTACTTACAAATAGCCCACCTCCCTTCAAATATATATCGTCTACATTTGTAGAGATAAATTAAACATTTGTAGAGATAGATTTAAGATATACACCACTGGGATGTCTAAGAATATCCAATAGTTAGGATCGGAGAAACATTTCAGACTACATGGGTGTGAAACGTTGACGCCAGAGATTAATCAGTGTCGTTTACTGGACGAAACATATTCACTTGGCGTGAAGTAAAAGCAGTAGATATTTGGATATACATGTATCCGGGAAACTCACTGATGACACCAGGTGTTGGCGAATAGGGTAAGTAAATTCTGACTAAAAAGACTCTAAGTTTTCAATCACTTAGTGACATCATTTTTTAAAGATTTAAGTATTCATGACAGTGCACAATAAATATTAATTTTAGAAATTGCATTTTGAAAAATTATTATGTCTTAAACGAAATCAAATTAACGAAATATATACTTATTTATCAAATTTCATGTTTGAATTAAACTGGAAAAATATCTGCAAACATTGGCTGTACAGTATTGCGGGGAAAATATTATTGAATTAAATTAATTCAATGGAAATTGATAGACTTCCCATCAGAACCTTCCAAAGTAATATATTTAAAGCTGGCATTTACCCATACTTCATATATGAATGATTTAAGTTTACTTAAAGAGATGCTAGTTTAAACGCAAACACAAAACTGTTATTATTTTAAAAAAAATATTTTTTCTAAATAACTAGTATTTTTCATTTCGATCACATAAACGTTTTTGGTTCAAATAGACCAGGTGTTTAGTAATATGCATTAATTTAAAAAAAAATATTAGTTGATACTTTCTAATAAATAAAATTGAAATATAAAAGTAAGATGTGTTTGCAGATGCAGTTTGTATACATTAACTAAACGAATTATGCAATCATTTCGCAAACGAATTAAATTAATTTTTTTTTTGAAACCTTAAGCATCCTTGATATTAATTTTTCAAAGAATATATTAATAAACTTACCTAAACTCTCCGTACCAACAATTGCACTCATTGCTCAACTTCTCAATTGGTTGAAAAAACGACGGACAGATTCCGAGCGGATTGTATTTCAGTTTGAATATATCTTTGATCCCAATGGTAATGTCTTGTCAAGACGCTGACGTTCCAGCCTGGGTTAAGAATGACTGATCATCGCTTCAGCCCACCCTTATACCACCAACTCCTGGGAATTTGCAGATGGGGACGACAAAGAAATGGAGCGATCCGATTGGTCGACACGCCCCCAGCAAAGCGGTTTCATTCAGGACCAATTTACGTTCTTCGCCGTACCACCGGTGTCCAATTGAGGTTCTGTTGGTTTAATGCGCAATACCCCGTGACCAAACATCTAGAATGCTCAGTTCACTAACAATAGCACCCTGATTGAAAAAGCTGGCCTCGCTTGATCGGCAAGCGAACAATACAATCGGGTATTCGCCGCTATTTTGTGGTCATCAACTCCAAAGCGGGCTTTCAGCTTTTACCCTGTTGTACATTTAACGCTGATCTTTGTACGGGGATAATGCACAAAAAATATTGCTCTACGGGGTGTTCATTACGGGCCAGAAACGCTTACAGGCGTTAAGGGGTGGGCTTACCGTGCACAAGCGTCAACAAAGTTTTAGAACATGTCCAAATATTTCATGTCTAATTATTTTGAATTTGAGGGTATACTATGGAAGGTGATTCTAAACAAATCTATTTAATGCCATTGTGTTTTCCTAAAGCGCAGTCATTGTAATGTGTATTTGGAAAGAGATGTTTTGTCAGTTTTATGCATTTTATAAGGGCAGGCTGTATTAGCGTTTCGAGTTAGACATCTTCGCTTAGTGTACGTATAAAGAATATTTCATATAAACAATGATAATATAAGGTGAAAAGCACGGCTATATTTAAATGGAATTGACACATAAAATGAACAGGACAAATCTTGCATTTGCACTGAAGGAAAATATGCAGTATAGAGACTACATGTACATTTTATTCATCTGATATTAATTAACTCATACTAGCGTCTTTTACATCATTAAAGTCTTTGATATATCACACATAAAATTCATAACTGTTAAATAGACAAAGTACCTTCTACTGAATTATATACCTGAGCAAAATATGAAAATGATGAGCGCTCATCTGTTTTCTGTCTAGATGTATACATAGAACATCTATAATCTTATACTCCTTTTAGAGTGTATACATTCTATCGTATAAATTCATTATGTTTTAATTTTTCATGCCTACGTTGTACCTTTTAAATATATCTGTATGTGTATATATATCATATTTATTTTCAAATGATATGTATGTGCATTTTTATACACACACATACACACAGATAAGCTTGTATGTACATGAAAATATACAAGTCTCTTGTAACTCTTATAGAGTGGCTCATATGTTTCTTACATCGTTATATTTTACCTATTTGACATGTACTTTTACAGTATATATGAGGTGAGGCTCACATAAACTACCCATCTGTCTGCCTACATAGCAATTCATAGTGACGCAAAACCATACCCCAGGTTGTGGGAAAAGAGTGATGACTTCAACTTTCCCTTTATTATATGTCCCGGACCTTACGTCCAGCAGCTCCGGCCTTTGGTATCCAGCATGCGCTCAACGTGGGCCATACGGCCATTGCTCAAACGTTGTTTGATAAGAAGTGTTTG